CCGTTGATCTCGATTGACCAAGTCATCACTGAAACATCCTCAATAGAAGAAGACGTAACAGAAGGTGAGCTATGGGACGAACTGGACAAAGAGCTGACACGACAGGAAAACGAAAGAGACAGTGATGCCATGGAGGAAGAAGCAGCAGCAGCAAAGGAGATTACAGAGGAAGAGACTGTCTTTACCGGTGGAGGCGACTTCTCCACCACGGGACAGAACCAGATTCCGGTTTCAACATCTTCAACGGACTTGATAGAGAACCAGCGGTTTTACCCGCCTGGTAAGATAATGCACATAGTGTCAGTAACTGAGACCGACTCTGAAACAGAACGTGACGAGGTGTCGGTGGTTGGGACAACGACGACTGTAGAGCGTGTGAGATTATACGAGACGCCAAGAGAACTGTACAGAAAGCTTAGGCTATCGAGAACTATGATAAATGATCACTATATGCCAATGTATAAAAAAATGATGGAACTCTTGATTACTGAGCTCGAGTGTGATCTACATTCTTCATGAGCTCTCTACCTCCTCATCAACTGTACATTATAAATATTTATACACAGAATTTTACATCCTACTTTTTTGAATATAGAGAGTTTTATTATTAGCAAGGATCTCTCAAGCATAAATGCTCTTGAATGTCATGTTTGATACTCTGGGTTTTAAATGTATAGGAGAACAAAGAGAAGAGAAGCAACAACAAAATGAATTTTATCAGAGCTGGATCTGTTAACTATCAGCGACCAGCTTCAATGTGCAACCTTGCTTCATTCTTGATACTGTCATAGCCAGTGGTACTTGTATCACCTTGTGCAGATAAAATTTGAAGACCGAGCAAGTGGTCAGTCTCCTGATGGTACTGATCCGACCACTCATGTTTGGTTTTTGGGGCTCTCAAGGCCTCTAGCTCTGCAGCTACTTCTTTCATCCTTGGTCTTTCCTCGCCCATCAGTCTTGTACACTCAATAGCAATTCTTGCAGCTTCTTGGATCTCTCTATGATTATCCTCGTTCATCACTTGCTCATCAACAATCTCACGCAACCTATTTTCTTTTGTGGCAGAAGCAAAGTAGCTGACTAAATGTTTTGAGTGTTGTGGCCTTTCAAAGCACAATGCTTTTTGACCTGACAACAGTTCCATGAGGACTACCCCAAAGCTATAAACATCGCTCTTTTCGTTTAGCAACCCTGTGTTGTAGTATTCTGGATCCAAGTAACCTAGAGTGCCTTGCACCATAGTTGTGAGCTGCTCTTTATCCATTGGTATCAGCCTTGAAGCACCGAAGTCTGCTACTTTTGCGGTTAAGTTTTCATCCAGGAGAATATTAGCAGTCTTGACATCGCGGTGGATGATTGGAATAGAAGCAGAGGAGTGAAGATAAGCAAGAGTTCCAGCGATTTCCACGGCTATCCTCAGGCGGTGTTCCCATGTAAGAGAAGAATTAAACGTAGAACCGTGCAAGTGATCGAAAAGGGTACCGCTGGTAATGAACTCATAGACCAACAAGGGAACTTCAGTCTCTAGACAGCAACCCAAGAGCTTGACCACGTTCCTATGGTTGATTTGTGAAAGCACAAGCACTTCATTGATGAACTGCTCTACTTGGCTACTGTCTCCAAGCCGAGCTTTCTTTATAGCAACTATGGAATCGTCCGGCAATATCCCTTTGTAGACTGTTCCTTGTCCTCCCTGACCCAAGATTCTGCTCTCATCATAACCATTAGTTGCTTCCTTCATGCCTTCCTCAGTAAATATTTTGACATCAACGTTTGATGACCCTGCTCCTGAAAGTCGATTTATCAACATTCCACCACCATTTTGCTCGAAGAATTGTTGTCGGAGCTCGGTGTCTTTCTTATGCTTCATTCTCTGTTGTATACAGCTAACGCCAAGCAAGAGGACCAAGAAGCCAATGCTGGTTCCTGATCACATCACACATAAATGGTGTTAGAGTGATTTGTTTTAGAAAAGAAAAAGAATCCATGACAAAGTGAGAGGAACTCACCAAGAAAAATTTGAGTCCATCCAAAGTATCCAGGCTTGTCTTTACGAATGCAGCTCATATCGGTAACATTTAAGCGGTAACCAGACGGGCAATTACAAAGGAAGTCTCCTAGTGTGTTTTCACATGTACTGAGACCCATACAATTGTGTTTATAGATAGTATTACTAGTGGTACACTCATTGATGTCTGGTCCAAGGAATAAGAACAAGAAATGTATGAGAAAAGCACTTAACTCTTACGCGAGGAATGAAAGAAAGCAAATATAAAACAATTTGAAGTAAGTACCTTGGCAACCGTTTTCGTTTGAAAGGTATGGATTTCCATCAAACCCTTTTTTACAAATGCAGATATAACCGGTTCCACGAACCGAATCAGAACATATGCTATTCCCACGGCATATGCTTGCGTTTCCAACTTGCTTGCATGTTTGTTTACCAATAGACCAATCCAGCACCACAGGGAACCTCGTTATATTCCGAAGATTCTTAAGATCTTGAGTAGAACTGAAGTTAAACTTACCATCTTCGACGAGAAAGGCGTAGCTGCAAGGGTTGAAGTCATACACAGAAGTATGATTGGAAAAACTATATGGTCTGACTCTAAAGTAATTGCTTCCTCTAGGGACAGAAGTCTGACAGCAACCTCCACCGGAACACGATCCATTTGTCGCTCTCAGAGAAGTACATGTTGACATGCATCCAGTTGAGTAATTTCCAACTCCATTAGTGTTGAGAAACGCGTAAGTGTTACAACCTACCGCAATAAATCTGTTCTTTTCGGAGAATGTTAAATTACCAAGCCTAGACCACCGGTTTTCGCGGCCAATCTGCTTTCCTTGCTTATTGTAACAAACATAAGATCTAGTATTCAGCACGCGTATCTCCCCGCTGTGAGAGATGTTGATCACTTCATTTCCGCCAAAGATTAGCTTATTATTTGTCTCGTTACATGTGAGTTTGAAACTATTATCTCCGGCATAGTAACAACCTGAAGAGATTCCAAAAGGGTATTCAACCTTGACGTTGCCACATCTATCTGCGCAACCGGGCAATGATTGACCTTTGACCAGCTGCGTATAAGCAAAAGAGAAAAAAACCACCAAGAACAGATTCATC